TTTAGCATGTTTGATTATGGAAAAAGCACTTCAGGGCTATCTGCCTAAGGAGAGGGATGCCTTCGTGAAGATCTTGCTAAGGCTCGTATACATGCTGTATATAGGAAACACCACGAAAACGTCCATACAGCTAGCCTGTTCGCAGGGATTCGAAACCCGGACCGAACTACCAGTGTTCAGTGGCATTTGCCGCTCGGCCGCTGGTGGGTAAATCCCATTAAGTAAAAATAGTGTATGTAAACAGACGGTCTAAGAGTGTAAAATTCACTACAGAATGTGTGAAAAACAGGAGCAAATCTCTGTCAAAATCAAAGAAATCCATGACTAGAAGACTGAGTTAATATTCATAAAATCATAAAATAAAAAGAGGTCCAGTACATTATGAAAGTACTTTTATTTTGGAATTTAAAAAAATATATATATGTGTGCTTTGATATTTTTAGATCATTGTTTTCTCGTTTGCACACAAATAAGTGCATAATTTAATGTTATTTAATGTATTCTAAGATTCTTTTATTTTTCCCTGAAATATTTCCCTTACGTTAAATATTTAATTCCTTTTATAAAAAATTTTTGAAAGCTGGTTGAACCCCATTACATTTTTGACTCGCTACATATGCATCCCCTGCTGCGAAAACTACCAAGTTAGAATTTACAACAAACACTAATTAGAATTTTCAGAAAATACAAATTTGATTTGCAACACAATTTAAAAAAAAAAGGATTTTTCCTTATAATTCTGATTTCCTCCGTCTTATAAAAGAAATCTCTAACGATTTCGAAGTAAAGCTATTGATTCTGCTATCGTAGAAAAAACATGGACTTTTCTCATTAAAAATATGAAGAAACAAGTAAAATACTCTTTTACCGTTTTTTTCATTCAATTATTAAATCAGATGCCGTGTCTTATAGAAGCATCCTTTAATATTTGTAGCCTTCATTATAATTTTTTTTTACTTCCCTATTTTTAACCCAGAAAGGCTATTTATTTGGTTTTGGCATTTTGCATGGATTCACTATAAACGGCGAATCACTTTAAATTGTTGCCGCCAAATATTATTGTCCTGAATTATATTTACAGAAATTAAATGAAGAAGAATCTTCATGGATGTATGTAGGTTTCTCGCCTTGTGATAAAACAACGGTACCTAGAGCCATCCAATTTTGAATAACGTACGTTTCCACCCGAATATGGGCATCTGGAAGCCCAAATTTGGAATTTGTTTTATTATCTATTTCATATTTGGAAAGGCATTTAAGAGTTTTCGATTAAGAAACTTGGCGGTTTCAAAGCGAGCAACGGCAACAATGTACAGAAAAAATAAAATAAAAAAAAAACTTATCTCCAGTACGCGAGACTGTATCGGAAATTCTAAAGATATGCTCATTTAAAAATTATTTTGCGATATTGCTGTTGAATTGAATTTTATGGTTTACGTGCGGATGTGATATTTAAATAAAAGTAGCACACAAAATGTTAAAGAAACGCGCCTTCGGTCATAATATAAAATCTGAAACCTTTCAGATTTTTTTTATTAGAAATATTATTGCTCGCCTCTCACAAAAATGCGAGATAATGCGTAGTTTTATCCAAGCCTGGTTTCGCGCCTTTAACGAAACATATACCGCAAGTTTTCTAAATTTACTTCTCAAATTCTGTATTTACCGTTTTGGCTAATCTTTAGAATATGGTAACAGGTAGTTTGGTGACATTTTGGTAAGGCGATAAAGGTTACTAGCTAGAACTTTAGCAGTGTACATGTATAAAGTCAAGAGTGTGCGCAATGCCATTTTTGTGCAATTCTGGGATGTTTTTTTAAGTGAAAATAGGTCGACGTGTACATGAATACCGTGTATGTGCAATTCTTAAAAACGCGGCAAGCAGTTTGCGATTCTGCACTTTCTCCCAATTTCGCACCTAATCTTCGTCATGATTAAGCACTTTTGTTCCATAAAAGTTCTAGCATAAGCGTAATTCGGATAGCAGATTGTTGGAAAAAAATGTTGAGGGAAAAAAAAAAAAAAAAAAACATGCCTTTACTTCGTGAAAACAAAATGGCGTCCAAACAAAAACTAGCAGGTTGCTGTAGCAGGGTTGGTCGGCAAATTTTAGCCAAAAAATCGCCAAGTTACCATAATCCAAAGATTAGCCATAATGTTAGTATAAATTCAAAAGTACTCAAACAAAATAGGGCTTCACAGCTTGAGGACTTTTAAGCTATAAAGTTTCCAACTGTAAAATTATTTTTCATACTAAATTATAATTATTTTCACAACATTAAAAATAAATCATCTTTAAATGAATGAATCAAGCCGTGATATTAATTATCATAGTAATAAGGGAAGTGATATAAATGACGGACGTTTTACTCTACAAACTTACAACAGATGTACAATATTCGTAATGTATGGTATTTCTAATTTTAAATATTCAAGCATTTTCCAATAAACAGAGTATTATTTAAATATTAAGAACAAAAGGATTTCTACACATTACTTAGTCATATGTATAATTCAACACATTGCAGAAATTTTACGAAGCGTATACTGGCTTCACACAAGTAATATACATTAAAAACATGGATTTACATTATTTATTATTCTAGAATTAGGGCATGTATTACGGATATTTAAACTTGATTCGGGACTTAAGCTGTACTCATGACCATGAAGAAAAGCGAGTACTAACTAATATTTTCTGAACATTCAAAGAAAAACGCGAAATTAGAGGAATATTGAAGCGTCGGCCATCAGTCGGACATTAGATTTTCTATTCGGGTATTGTCTGTAGCTACTGACTGGAAACGGACCGTTTTGTTCCGCTGCATCTGAAATTTGTTCGTATCTTCTTCCGTACATGTATCGCATGGATATGTTGCCTCGTTTTATTAGTGTTATGGATAAAAATTTTATTTATTTTACTTTTATGAGAAATTTATCACAACTATATCGCTAACCGAATTCTTAGCTCAAAAGGTCTATGAATGTCCGGAAATGAAATTTTGCATGAAATCGCTATAAATACGCCATTTTACTTTTCATTCGAGTCCAATGCCATTCAGCAAATGTTAAGATATGTTTATGTTTCAGACTGAATCCGCCTGTTGTGGATTACCAAAGTAAGCAATAGATGCAGTTCTTAACATTAATGATAGAAAGACAAAGTTTTGTTTTTAAGAAAAAGCCATCTTATTAAGAAAACAAAATATTGGTATGATGAACTCGGAAAAGACTGAAAAATATATAAAAATGTCTGCTAGCACTTAGGAAATTCTAAACATATGCTGCTTTTAAAATTTTCGTGATTTTGCTGTGGCGCATGTGCTTAATAATGCGTATATATGTATACATGGGTGTATGGATGTATACGTATGCAAGAAAACGATGCTTAATAATAAAGCTAAAAGGATGGGTTAGCAGAAGAGAGTGCAAGAGCAGAATAGTAAAGCTGGGAAGCTCAGCAAGAGTGTAAAAAACCTTAACAAATCATTTTGTGGCCCGTTAAAATCCGAAATCTTTTAGAGTTTTTTTAATTATTTTTTTACTAGTATCAGAGAGTCTGTAAATCTTAATACTCACTTCCTTGACCATATCGCTTAAAATGAAAAGTGGTTCATATCCACACATGCAGAAGTTAGTATCCCTACGTTGTTATTATCGTAAATTTCTGTAAATATTAAATTCTAACAATGCCGTTTTTAGCACATATAATGTTTATAACTTATTTTTAAAACTCTTGTATGCATGGACTCTTACAACGCTTAACATTTTGTTCCTGAACGTTAGCTTTTCGGACCATAACGTAAGTCACATATAACGTTTATAAATTATCCGTGCGAAACCGTGTAGTACGCGTCACCGTGTGTTACATGATGAGATACCGGACGGAACGCCGTGGCCTAAATGGAAAGGTCAGCAGAAAGCGCTTAATATATTAAACTACTAAGTAAAAGGGAATTTGGGTAATTAGGATAATTCATTTAAATGTTATTAATCATCAGGTTTAGGTTTATTTAAATTAAGCCTATACAACCAGCCCGTTCACCGGGATTCGAACCTCAGCCCGAACTATCAGTGTTCAGCGACTTTACCGCTCGGTTACTGGTGGGTCTGCAAAAAATGAAAAAAATTAGTTGCGTAATTAATTACGGCGAAAGACGAGAAGTTCTTCCGCCATAGAAAGAGCACATTGGTGAAGAACCTTCGTACAGCTTATTTGCTTATAGAAGTAATGAAATTACTTTTAAGTCATCAATTATTTATCGAAGTTTATAAAGTAACTTATTCTTTCAGAACGTTCAAACTGAACTTTTACGAACTCCTAAGATACTTTGACAAAACACCAAAATATATATCAGCCTCAGTGAAGCATCTAGGAAAACAAAATGCTTAGAGCATTCTGAAATTTCTTACATTTGGCGACAGCGAAATGGCTCGTAAACAACATTACACAGTGGACAAAATTTCTCATTAAACATTGGAAAGCAATACATTCCATAAAAATGAATCCTAGACGAACTATTCTGCTACTTGCGGGCATTAATATATATTAAGAACATACACATACATAAATTCATTTATAGCTTGTTTAAATCAATAAGCCGATACTTAAAATGTTATTTTTCTTTTCTTAGCAGGAGTTCAAAACTATTTCCCACTTTTAGAAAACAGAAGGAATTTACATGCGCAATTTAAGCGAGATTAGATGCTGAAACTTTTGCTTAATGTTTTAATAAAACTCAGACTTTTTTTTTTTTTTTTTTAGTATTCAAGATGTAACTTATTCTATTAAACATAAATGAATATAGTACCATTCAATGTAGATACAAGATTCAAAACGTAACATAAAAATTAAGATTCTATGCGACATGAATCAGTATAACTTTAATCTCGGATATAGTATATTATAAATTTATTAATGCTGTTAATTTAATCTAAAAAGTAGATTACATTTATTATGAAAACAAAAACATCAAACTTATAAAGGAGAAAATACTTACCCAAATTGGTCAAAATTGTTTTGAGGCATTTTTCTTACAGACGATTTCGCTTAGAAGAATGAGATGAAATTTGTTAAATATTTGCTTATAGAAGTAATGAAATTGCTTTTAAGTCATCAATTATTTATCGAAGTTTATAAAGTAACTTATTCTTTCAGAACGTTCAAACTGAACTTTTACGAACTCCTAAGATACTTTGACAAAACACCAAAATATATATCAGCCTCAGTGAAGCATCTAGGAAAACAAAATGCTTAGTGCATTCTGAAATTTCTTACATTTGGCGACAGCGAAAGCTAAGAAGATGCCAAGAAAAGAATAATTAAGTATTCTTGAGTTGAAAAGGTGAAAATTTTAGAACATAAAATTGAGAAAATATATTCCTGAGGTATGTAAATAGGTTTTATAGGACTATTTTAGTAGAATTTAATATTTTGTTCTATGCAGCACATAAGAATAATATTCTGATTCTTCATGGTTGAAAAGTGTTTAATTCTATTGTAATCCCCAGTAATTTCGTGTATCGGTAATTTTAAAGTTTTCGAGATCAACAATTCCAAAACACTTTTTTTAAGTTAAAATTTTTTTACACATAGAACATCTTATTAACCAGAGCTTTGAACTCGCAGAAAACTGATAGCTTTTTCTTGATAGCTGCAGTGTCTCATAAAAGTGTTCGTACACTTTAAGAATTTTCAGGAAAAACGCTGTAACCCGGAATTGAATTCGAATATAAAGCCCAATATTTTTTCACATTATGTCTATGTGACTTTGAATAAAACTAAGCTTCTTAATTTTTAACACTGATTTATTTTCTTTTTTGCCGCCCAACCGGTATAGTGGTTAGCGTTGCTGACTACCGTGCCGAAGGGGCCGGGTTCGAATCCCAGAGAAGGCATGGATGTTTGTATATGTTTAATAAAAATTTGTAAAAACGTTTGTTGTTAATTTCAATATTAACCCTCACGAATTGGAGGAAACGGCGTTCGCCAAAGTCCTCATCATCTTTCTTCTTGTCTAAAAAGCAAGATTGATACTGATACTGATACTGATTTTCTTTTTCTAAAATTCAAAATGTAAGGAGGCATAGATAAAACATGCCACAAAAGTGATCCTACACCGAAACATTTTCGTGAAATTTTATAAATAAAAATTATCGTCTACCACTTTTTTTTTTTTTATTTTTGCATTTTGGTTACTTAAAAAAATTGTTTGGCTTGCTTACTTCGTTATAATTTATTTAATGTGGCTCGCAGTCGTAAGGAAATAATGAACAGCGTTCGAAAATTGATTATATTTTATCATAAGGATGGAAATTGGATTCGTGACGTTGCTAAATATCTCCTTGTATGGTGTAGTATGTAAAAAAAAAATGCTTTAAAGAAGAAACTCGGATCCAAAATAAAGTAAGAAGAGATTGTTCGGCAAAGAAGACTCAACGTTATCAGAGATTTATAGTTAGAAAATCTGTGAAGTATCCATGTTTGAGTGTTTTAACGATTTCTGCAGAATTTACTGAAAAGTTTTCTAATTTAATTTCACTTAAAATTGTTCGACGAGTACTCAGATCAACTGGATTGCATGGGCACTCTGCTCGAAGAAAATTTTTTGAAGTACAAAAAATAAAAAGCTTTACTTTTCTTCTCAAAATCAATGATAAATAAGTTCGAAGCGTATTAGAATCATGTCTTATTTGCAGATGAAAGTGAATTTAACAATTTTGGTTCCAAAGGGTGTCTAATTGTATGGAGGAAAAAAAAAAAAAAAAAAAAAAAAGGGGGGGGAGCTTTATCCTAAGACCTTGGTTGGTGGCAGTAAAGAATGGAGGTGGAGGTGTTCTTGTGTGAGGGCGCATTTTAGCATCATGATTAAATAATTTAATATTCCTTCATGGCACAATGAACAATGCTATTAAGGTAATTTAAAATTATCCACCCAAAATTTGGATACTGGAAACAACTTTATATTTCATTAGGATAAGTATTCTAAGCATATGATCCTCAACGTTCGCCTTTTGGGCGTCTATAATTATCTATAAGTACTGAAAACACCATTTCAATTACCAAAAAGCTGTCATAAATACTGCAGTACATATAACAAAATACTAACTACAGGTACAAAAATACAACATTGGGAGGAATCTTTTCTGTTACGTTTTTATTATTGATTTTCCAAAAACAAAAGAAAAGGTTTAACATGTTCATAAAATAATTAATGTAGTTTTGCTAAGAGAAATTTATAGATATTATTAAAAAATTTTCATTTTGAAATATTAATTTTTATTAATGAACATAGCAATATTTTACTGAAACTCGTAAAGGTACGAACATTTCTGTGAGCCGTTGTAATTCTTCCTGAATTTACTGTGACGAATGGCCTTGGGTGCTCAAGATATTTTGTACTTTTATCTCATTCATAACTTAAATAAGAGTCTGTTTCCCTTAGAAAGCCTTCTGATGAAAGCATTTACTTTGGCAAAATAATTCTCAAATTATTTCTTTACATCTGAAAGACTACACGGCCAAGATGCAATTGACATGAACTATAACTTTTTGTTATGTTATTTGGCTGAAACTCATTCAGCTTAGCAGTACAGTAATTGTATAATGATGCTTACATACGCCAAACAGGAATTATTTATTCTTTATTTTTTCATATTGTCAGTTGTAAATCCACGAACCAGTCTCGTTCTCCGCGTGCAGGCTGTTTATATATAGCTTCAGCCTGCCTTCGAGAACATTCCCGAAGAAAACTGCTGACAATGCGTTCTAGAATGTTCTCGATTCGTCTATGGCATATCGCCAATTTTATCGCCAAATGGGCGATTTCGCACCAAATCTGGTAACTCTGCTTTTCCCAGCCACTTTCTGACAGCCCTAATCCCGCTCTGCGGGGAAGCTCTCTTACCGCAGTTGGGCATTTCGCTACAATACTATATTGGTATCGCTGTTTAAGTGAAGAAGAATAGAATGCTTTTGAACACTACAAACGTGACTAGAAATGTGGATCAGAAACTGAGTGAGTGAATAGAAATGTTTAATTTATTCACATTTTTCTGCGTCATGACTCGCCGATTCAGTCTGTAATATCGTGTCCATGCGCTTGGATATTTTAACAGATAACTAAAAATGAAGGTATCCATGAAGAATTGAATCGAAATAAGATATCCTTACATATTAATCATGCTAAGCCTATATATGTGTTCTATAAGCAACAAATAAGCCATTTGGAATACATTAACCTTTGAGGAAGCATGAATTAACTTATACATCACCAAATAAATGACAATCAAAGCATTGATTTGGATGGGGTATAAATAGTCACAATCCCATGGGCAAAACATAGAACCGGTTGTTATTGATCTTATGCATGAATTTGTAGAGATATTAGGATTTTTTAAGCAGGAGATGTGAAAAATGTTCAGTGCCCTGACCGAGAGTCGAACTTAAACCTATCGAATACGCGCCGAGTGTGCTACCGTTACACCACGAAAGCATGCCGAAAAAAGGGAGAAAATACTTTATACACTCCCCCTTTTAAAGGGCGACTGGGGGATTAGTGAACCCAGTCGCCAGGTCCTGGTGGTGATCCAAAAGTTAATCATCCCAATTTTTTTAAAATTTGGGCGCCTTTGTAGAGTCATTAGGTTATTTCTGAAACAACAGACATGAAAAATGAGCAATGCCCTCACCAGGACTCGAACCTGGGCCTCTCGAATACGCGCCGAGTGTGCTACACCGTTACACCACGAAGGAATGTCAAAAGGAAGGAGAAAATATCTTACATACATCCGCTTTTAAAAGGCAACTGGAAATTAGGGAACCCAATCGCCAAATCCTGGTGTTGAAAAATAACATCCACCATCTTTTTTTTTTTTTTTTTTTTTTTTAGTTCGGCCGCCACTGTAAATTTATTAGGTTATTTGAAAAATATGCAATGCACTCGACTCGATTGGATTCGAACCTGGACCTCTGGAATACGCGTCGAGTGTGTTACCTTTATACCGCAAAGGCATGCCGAAAGGAGAGAGAAAATACCTTATAAATCATACAAAATAACCTCTTTTCTGAGTTCCTGAAGTTAATGGAAACTAAAAAACTAAATCATGAACGGTATTCTCAGTTGTTTAATACTGGTTGTATATGTTTATTGAAAACCGCCAGTTGGTTTCTGAACGATAAAATATTCAGAAAATTTTTCATCCGGTTTCTGGATAACAACGCAAAATCTCACTGACCTGGAACTGAATTCAAAGCAGTAATACCGAGCGTTTGTTTAAAGAAATGCAAAATCTTAAATACTTCAAAATTATTTTATTTCGAGATTTAAGTGTATGTCATGAAGATTATGTTCAGTAGCAGAAGAGAGATACTTGTAGCGTAGCATTTTTAAATTCATATTCTCTGCTTAGGAGTTTCAGATCCGAAAGCTTGAGTTGAATTTAAAATACAATATTTTCTAAATTTTTATCCATATGCCCAAAGTCTTCACTACCTTATTTATCATTTTAATCATTTTTTGGTATTTACTACATTCTTATTTATCAGTATAATTAATTTAGAATTTTATTGATTTATAAAGTCCCAATAGTGAGGGGGAAAAGAGGACAATATTAGTAAAAAATCAGATGTCATACAGAACAAAAAATTAATATATATCATGGATATATTTAATAAAGAACAAAAACATGATGCAGTAGAAATAAAACAAAACAAAAATTGGCAGTAATGGGGAAGTAAACGTATTTCTGTAGTATTTCTCTTGAATCCAAAATGCTAACATGACATAATGTCAAAGAACATGACAAAATGTCTTTGAAAGACCATACATTCACTATCACGCATAGGGCGTTATTTTAACCTATTTTCTTTCACCTGCGTTAGTAATCAATCATTCGCTCTTCCAATTCTGTACGAAATTACAGCTTGTTGTACTGCTCGCACTTTATACGAAGGTGCAGCTTTCATTAGTATATTAGAAGTGTTTTATCGCAAAAATATTTATGGTTTTGGTTTATTTAATTATTTCAAAGCACACTAGGGCTATCTGCCTAAGGGGGGATGCCTTCGTGGAGGACTTTCTAAGGGAAACTGGCTCGTATACACGTTACATAGGGGGAAAACCACGAAAATGCCCATGCAGACAGCCCGTTCGCGGGATTCGAAACTCGGACCGAACTACCAGTGTTCAGCGACTTTACCACTCTGGCACTGGTGAGCCGCAAATATAATTATGTATTGGTCAAATAGGACAGTTTCTGTT